TACCTAACATTTTAAGGGACTCTAGCCAGCCCAAGCATGGCAAACATGGCACTGGCAGGCCTTGCCCTTCTCCATTCCCGCTACATTGCTAAAAAGTGTTAGATTACAGTCCTAAATCTAGCCACCATTTGGCCATTTCCTCCTCCTGATCTGACTACTAAGGTCCAGCTATCAATTTATTGAAATACAGCAATCAAAAGTCCTCCCTAATTAGCCTATCTAATCAAAATTAAACACCTCATCCTAACATGGGGTTTCCCCATTTACCTTTATAAGCTGCCATTTGCCCATGGGCCACGTCTGTCCCCTCTCTATCCAGAGGCAGTTCTTTGTCCCTCTGGGGCAAATAAATCTTTGTGCTGAGACTCTGGTCCTGTGCCTAATGCTGGAATGTGCTAGTTGGTTTTGGAATGTTGGTTTTGAGTGTCGATAGGACACAGCCTAGAATCTCCTAGGAAGAGACCTGGGGACATGTCTTTGGTGATTGTCTTGATTGTTGATGGGTATAAGAAGACTCAGTCGATTGTGGACAGCGCCGTTCCCTTTTGGGGAGTCCTAGACCCCAAGGGCTGAGTCTGAGCAAGCAGGGAGCATGATGTGTTTTCTGCTCTTTCCTATTGGTGTTTGTAAATCCTTGGCACTGTGACTTCCCCACACCGTGAACTGTGACCTGGAATTATAAGCCACACAAGCACAGTCCTTCCTCCCCTGAATTGCTCTGTCAGAGCCTCTGTCACAGCAGCAGAAGTGGATTAAAATGGGGAGAGGGAGGGAGCAGGGGACAGACTTCCAGGGGAGAGTTTCAGCTCAAGGAATAGTTTTTTTCCCCCCTCCAGTCCCCAGGGATTTTTTTTTTTAATCTTCTCACTGTCACACAAGGAAGTAAATATTTGCCCAGTAGCCTGCTTTGTACTGCTGTCCTTGCTGTCCTTGGTGGGTCCGAAAAGCCTCCTGCTCTCCCCAGCCCTGCTGGGTTTCCTAGCCTTCTTGTCTACAGAGGTTTCCACCTCGCCTTCATCACCCCTTCCCTTCCCTGTGTTGCTGACTCAGCCCTGCAGCGATGGCTACAGTCCCCTCTTTATCATCCATCTTAGTAGGAGAAAGTTTCACTAGAAACTGCAGTCCAGCCAGTTCGCTGGTCCTCTGGAGCTGATCCGCCTTGAGCATCCTGAGCAAAAGCTCCGGACTCTCTGCTGTCCAGGCCAGCATGGGCAAACAGACACCCTGCTGGCTCTCTGTGCTGTCTGGGGCTCCTTGTCTTGAGTCCGATGCAGGAAGCTGGTGGAGAACAGGCCATTCCCACTGCCTTCTCGGGTGTCAGTTCACTGACCTTGACCACAACCTTCTGCTTGTGAAGTGGTGTTGCTGTCCAACCAGACAGAATTGTGCACACGCACCAGTATCCCTTTCTCGGCTGAGCTTCGAGTCTCAGGCTTTGGTTCACGGCAGGTGGATAACCCCGAGGACGCTGAGTGACACACACTACTTGGGTTCCCATAAAAATAGATAAGTCAGCGTGTTAGCTGTGACTCAGCTGGTTAGCGCCACAGCCTAGGACTTTGTGTAAGGGTTAAGACTGGGGTATGAGTGGGTGCTATAAATGTCCCTCAGCGTATACCTGTCTCCTCCGCGTTCAGCTCTCAGTGTTAGGTGTTTGCCTTCTGAAAATCCCGAACAGCCCCCAGTGCCCGCGACACACACACCTTGTGGTATTTCCGAGAACAGCTCATTTGCAAACACCCAAAGTGTTTACAAGGTGGAATGGGTGTGAACATATGCTCCACCAGCAGAAGCCGTATTGTGGCGTCCTCCACATCTGCTCTTTCTCACGGTTGTGACACAACATTTGCACTGTGTTTATGTGTCTTTCCAGAGCAGCTGACAGTCCTATAAACACACCCAGGGCAGTGATCAAGCCACCAGCTAGATGCCCGGCCCAGTCTGTCTCTCGGAGCTGGCTCCGCCAGGACTGGAAGCACACAAACATTTTGCGCATGCCGCATCTATATTGAGAGCTCAGGGCTGTAGAGTGTTGCTCGAGTCCAAGTTACCATATAAACCAGTTGGCAGAAGAACCCTAAACAAAGTTCAGCGACTGGCCCATTCCTTCCACGCGGGGTCATGGGCAGAAATATAAAGCAGCACACATGCAAACAGTGTTTTTCCAGAAAATGAACAGAGTTTTCAGCATGCCTTGGTCAGAATGCCCTCTTCTCCAGATTCTTCTTTCCTCCTCCCCTCACCCTCCACAGCAAGCTTACATGCAGGGAGGGGGAAGTAAAATAAAAACCCTGCTAGAAACAGAAGAAAGGTGCGTTTTTATATACTGTAGGGCTAAGCTGTATTTCAGCTGGGATCCGGGGCTTCTCCACGAGGCTCACTTGTCTTGGATTAAGGGTGGAAGGGCAACAGGTGCTGATTCTCAAGGGCTCTCGGGGGTTGCTCGCCTCTCTGAGCCTTGTTTGACTCCGCTATAAAACAAGGAATTTGAATGAATCTTACCCTTGACTTAATAAGGAAATTTAGAAATTTTAGTCTAAGTTGGCAGGCCAGGGAAATGTAGTACTTTTCAAGACTTTTAAGATCTCAGATAAACTGGGTATGACAATAGAGGCCTGTAATCCTCATACCCTGACTTAACAAATAAATAACAATCACCTGAAATCATTTTTTTTTTTTTGCTTGTGCCATTTTGTTTTTGTTTCTTGTTTTTAGGCTGAGTCTCTTAGCCAAGGCCGTACCCGAGTTCCAGTGTTACCCCAGCTGGCTTTGAACTCTAGATTTTTCCAGTTTCCACCTCTCACGTGCTAGGCCTACGGTCGCGAGGCACCACTCCTGCAAAGCCACGGCTTTCCGGGCAGGCAGCCTGAGAAAGGGAGAAAGTGTCACAGTGAGCTGGGAGCTGGGGACATGCTCGGCACAGGATGGCTTCTGAAGCTGTCAGGATAGCACGGACTTCCTGGTGTAGGAGCTGTGCAAGTCCTTTGTCAAAAAATGTGTAATTTGGTTACCTTGTACTGATGATGGTGTACTCTAGATGGTGAGGCTTGTTGCCAAGTACTATGTATGATCTTTGTAGCACTCAATACTTTGCAAAGCATTTCTGCACAAACCATTTTGTGTGCTGTGTACACCAGTTCTGGGGTGGCAGGCGGTAAGGAAATGAGGCTTAGCACTGTCACACAGAATGCTCTGACCTCAGTCTTGTTCCACAGTGATAAGAAATGGGGAAAAAATAAAATGAAAAAAAAAAGTGTGGGAATGATGTATACAATATTGAAGATGATGGTGACCATTTTAAGCTTATTTTATATTTATTAGCTGTGTGTGTATGCCAGCTCATGTACCCGAAGGATGGGGCATGCCGTGGTGCGTGTGTGGAGGTCAGAGGGCAACTTCTGGGAGTTAGTTCTTTCCTTTTGATCTTTTGCAAGACAGTTTTGGTTGTTTCTACCACTTGACCATGTACGCCGAGCCAGCTGGCCCACCAGCTTCCTGGTGAGTCTTTGTCTCCACCTCCCATCTTGCCATGGGAGCCAGCTAGGGATACGGATGCATGCCATCACATCCTGCTTCTTATGTGGGTCCCGGGGCTTGAACTCAGGTGGTCAGGCTCTCAAGGCAGGCGCTCTCACTGCTGAGCCGTCTTTCCAGCCCCTGGGAGTTTTGTTCCGTGCCCAGCACTGTTCTGAGTGTTTCATGTGTGGTCCCGACAGTAACCCTGCAGGAAAGGATCTATCAGGTTCCCCTCGACAGGATCTTTTTAAAAACTATTTCATTCACGCATACCCATAGCAGTTAGAACAGTGTCTAACACTCCGTACATATTTTAAAGACATGTTTTAATCATGTCTATGTGTATGTGTATATGTGTGGAGCTGGGTGTGGGCGTGTGCTCATCGGTGCCAGTGCCCTCAGAGGCCAGTGCCCATGGAGCTGGAGTTACAGGTAGCTGTGAGCTACCTGGAGTGAGTGTCCAGGTCCTCCGCAGGAGCCGCATTCTCTCTTAACCGCTGAGCCATCTCTCCAGACCTTCACACATTTTTTTTTTTTAACAAATGAATTTCAGGTAGAGAAACTGAGGTGTGGCTATTTAAGTTACCTTTTTAACTAAAATCATGATCTAATGCAAGGCAAATGCAAAATTTGAGTTAGTAATGCTTGAGGCTACAAACTATCTACACGCAAAGTAAAGCAGCGCACCAAAGATGAAGTGTGTGTATTTTAAAATAAACTTTATTTAGAAAATCTTGCTTATGTGTGTGTATGTGTATGTATGTGTATATATATGCATGTGTATGTATGTATATGTGTGTATGAATGTATATGTGTGTATGTATGTGTGTATATGTATGTATATATGTATGTATGTGTATGTGTGTGCGCACGTGTGTGTGTGTATGTATGTATACAAAGTGACGATTGTCTTGGAAAGTGGAAACGTAAAGCTACAGTCCTGAAGTGAGGGCTGGTTTCAGCATGGAAGAATTGCAGTGTGAGATGTAGTCCCTAATTACACCCAGCAGCAGTGTGACTTGACAGCTCACCTGAAAATGAACTGCAAAGGAAGGTTTAATTTAAAAATGGTACTGCACGACCTCGATAATTGAAATATTAAAAGCCTCTTAGCGGAGCCCAAATAAATATCTCAGCAGAAGTACAATAGATTCTCTCCTGCAGCCTGTGGCAATGAACTAATGAATGATCATTTTCATTAACTGTTTACATAACTAATGTTCTGTGTGTTTATTTCTTCTTCTTCTTTTAAGCCGACACTCTAGAAAGTAAATCCAACAGTGATCCTGTTCTACTTTATAACTTTTTGTACGGTAATAAAACTACAATCACTAGAGAAAATTTGAAAGACAAAACTGTTTCATTTAAAATCTCAAAGCGTAGATATTTCCATTAGAGAGGCTTCCTATATCTCCTTATGAAGTCTTTTAGGAACTCAGAAACTTAAACGATGCCTTGTAACTACACACCTGCATGGACTAAAACATCCGATGATAATGATGCCCGCTTTGTGGTCGAGACGACAGCGATACTGGCTAAGGGGAGAGAGTAAGCAAATGGGTCTTCGGAAGCACCTACCCAGAACCCCTTCTACACTGTGTGCTGTCCGGTAACACCTGACTTTTATACCTGTGCAGAAAACACAACCCTGCAAGGTTGCGGAGCCATACATCATATTCACCTCAGTTTTATAGGCCATCTCTGTCATAATGTAATTAGTCTTCTTAAAAGTGAAAGGCAGCAAGTCCAATTGCTTTTATTGTTGGATTCTACCAAACATTTAGAGAAAGAAAAGTAATTCTCCATGATCTCTTTCATAGAACAGAAGCACAGGGAACACATGCTAACCCACCTGACAAGCCAACGTTATCCTAATACTGAGCAGACAAAGACATTGCGAGAAAAGCCTTAAGACCAATGTTTCTTAAGAATGTTGACTTTTTGTTTAACCCTCATGGCTGGAGGGATGCTCTGTGGTTAAGAGCCCTTGCTGCTCTTGCAGAGGATCTGGGTTCAGATGCCAGCTCACAACTGCCCAGAAATCTCGTTCCAGAGGATCTGATGCCCTCTTCTGATTGTCTCAGGCTCTTGCATACGTGTGGTACATATACATGCACTGGAGCATAAAATAAATGAATAATCTTTAAAGTCCTCAAAATACTAACAACCTGAATCCAATAATATATACGCCAATTATATGCCATGACTAGTAGCGTTTATTCCAGGTATAAAAGTCTAATTCAGCACTCGAATATCAACATAATCTTCCAAATCAGCTAGGCAAGAAGGAAGAAAAATCTTAAATTCATACCAACACATAAAGAAAAAACTATGTGAGGAAACTCCCACTCACAATTACAAAAGCAAACAACAACAACAAAACAAGCCAAAGCTCTCCGCAAGCCAAAAATGTTGAGGAGCTTCCCTGACTGGATAAGAACTCCAGCAAGGCAAGCAACCAGCAGGGTGGCCCAGAGGGTAAAGGCAACTGCAAACCTGGATTTGATCTCCTGGCACTTACACGGGAGAAGGAGAGAACCAACTCTTGCAAGTAGCTCCCTTACCTCCCCATATGCACTGTGGCAGGCATACCACCCAGCCACATAACTAAATGTGATTTTTAAAAAATCCTTAAAAAAAAAGACATATATCAAATTTCTACAGCAAATATATACTTAAGGGTAACAAGCTAAATATTTGCTCTTTAAGATTAGGAACAGGTACTGCAAGGGCTAGCAAGTATAATAAGACAAGAAAATGAAACAAAAGGCAGAAGGAAGAAAAACTAAACTCCCCTTTGCTTTAAAGTGACATGATTTTCTACATGAGAAAATTTAAAAGAATTGACATTCACACACATGTGCATACACACACACACACACACTCACAAATTTCCAAGAACAAAGAAAGAATTGTAGCAAAGCCTCAGGGCGCATTTTTCATACACAAAGTCAACCACTTCTATACCAGCAATGGAGATTGGAATTTTTAATCTAGAAAAAATCCTGAAAAATAAAGCCATACAAGCATAGTTAACTGATCTTTGACAGGGATTTTTTTTTTAAAAAAAAATTATTGCTTTGTAAATAATACCATTCAAAATTTCCACTTCCTCCCCTCCTCCCATTTCCCTCCCGCTCCCCCACTCAGCCTCCCCCTCCAGTCCTAAGGAGGGCAGGGTACCCTGCCCCATGGGAAGTCCAAGGCCCTCCCCCTCCATCCAGGCCTAGGAAGGTGTGCATCCAAACAGACTAGGATCCCAAAAAGTCAGTACATGCAGTAGAATCAAATCCGAGTGCCATTATCATTGGCTTCTCAGTCAGCCCCCATTGTCAGCCACATGCAGAGGGTCCAGTTTGATCCCATGCTCGTTCAGTCTAAAAGCCTTTTGTGTCTGTCTTCTCGGGCTGTCGTAACGAGATCCGTGGCTAGGTAGCTTTAACCATGTAGAGACAGCCACAGAGCTAAAGGCTGTGGGTTTGTGATATGGGCACCAGTGAGGCTGGATTCTGTTAAGTGAATAAAAGATGAGTTACAGATGGAGTTAGAATACTTGTAAAACACATACCTGGTAGAAGATTTCTGTAAAACTACACCGGTTCCATTCTGCCCTCTACTCACTACAGCTATGGGAACTAAGCTGAAATTTTAAAAACCTACATACACAGACAGAGACAGACAGACAGGGCCAAGGGGACATCCTTGATCCAAAAATGCCAGGAATGCCCACTTTACTGTGCTCAGGGGCAGCTTATATAGGGCTCTGGCCCCGCCCCAGCTCTCAGGATCCCTCAGCTGCAGACTCATCAGAACCCAGTCCCCTGCCATCAAGGTCTCCTGCTCAGAGCAGCTGCAGGCTGCTCAGAACAGAGGAAAACAAGTTGTTTACAAGAAATTCAGGGTCTGGTGGTCCCCAGTCCCCAACAGATTTCTATGCAAAACATTCAAAGAACTCTTGCGGGGCTGGAGAGATGGCTCAGAGGTTAAGAGCATTGCCTGTTCTTCCAAAGGTCCTGAGTTCAATTCCCAGCGACCACATGGTGGCTCACAACCATCTGTAATGGGGTCTGGTGCCCTCTTCTGGCGTGCAGGCATACACACAGACAGAATATTGTATACATAGTAAATAAATAAATATAACAACAACAACAAAAAAAAAAAAAACCAAAGAACTCTTGCAGCTCAACAATAAAGGTGAGAGCCTGGTGGTGCACACCTGTAGTTTCGGGCCTGTGGGAGATGGTGGAAGCAGATCTCTCTGTGAACTGGAGGCCAGCCTGGTCTACACAGCAAGTTCCAGGATAGCCAGGGTTACATAGAGAAATCTTACCTCAAAAAACAGAACAGAAACAAAACAAAAGAACAAACTCAACAATAATAAAATAGTATGATTAATAATTGATTTCTCCATAAAAACCATACAAATGGAAATAAAAAATATAAAAAGATATTCATTTCATGTTAACAAATTACCAATTAAACTGAGGGGCATAATTTGTTTAATGAGAGGTTGAAATAGAAAAGATGTTACTATCATCTGCTTGGCAAGGATATAAAATGAAAGGAGTTCTTACTGCTAGTAGGAATGTAAAATGGTACAGCCACTGTGGCAGCTTCTCTCAAGGCCTGAACACTCTTACCACAGAGTCCAGCAACTATGCCCTTGGCCATTTACTCAAAGAAAATGAAAATTTATGTGCACACAGATGCTGGCATTTAATTATGTATTATAGCATCTACATAATCACCCAAACCTGGAAGCAGCGAGATATCCTGTAACTAAAGGAATAATCTAACTACGTGTATCCATATAAGGGAAATTATTTAACAATAAGAAGAAATGAACAGTAATTTGTGTGAAGCACAAGCGAATCTTAAAGTGCCTTGCAAACGGAAATAAATCCATCTGAGAAGGCTAGACACTATGATTCCTCTGTGTGACAGCTTGGGAGACACACAACCCCAGCAGCACACAGGATTAGTGATTGGGATAGAGAGAGGAGAGGTGAAGCCCTGGGTATTGGGTGGGACAATGAAACTGTTCCATGTGGTGTTTCTGTTAGGGTTATATGATAGCATGCATTTGTCATTGCATACAGCACTTCACAACACCCCAGAAAAGATGCAAAAAAACACAGTGTACAAACTAAAAAAAAAAAAAAAAAAAAAAAAAAAAAAAAAAAAAAAAAAAAAAAAAAAAAAAAAAAAAAAAAAAACATTTAAGAGGTGGTGAGTTTCCAATGGAAAGCAGAATCATTAAAAATTGTATTTATATTCCAGTATAAGTGAAACAACTTTACAGGGGGAGGAGAGAGGGAGAAAGGGATGGAACTGCTGACCCAGGTGACTTTGGAAACAAGGAAAAGCCCTTAGGTTAGAAGCAGAAGCAACCACTGAACATTGTGATCTAGTGGTGTTGTGAGGTTCCCAGGCCACTGAGAATCAGCAGCTGGGTGAGTGGGCTGCAGACGGTGGAACAAAGGAATTTACAGATCCGTGAGGCCGGTGGTGGATTAGAGTCAAAGAGATTGCTAGGAGTCCATATTTGATTCTGGAGGTGCAGATGGTTCCTTGTGGAAATGCTTACAGATGTTTCCGAGTTCATATAAGTGTTGTGTACGCATATATACATACACATGTATTTCTGGGCTCATGGTTGGCAGAGGTTAGAAGTGAGTAGGTAAAGTGTGTGTCGGGGGCACGCAGAAGTCGACTGAAAAGTGTTCAATGGCCAAGCGTGGAGCAATTAGAGCAACAAACTAATGCTCTGGGTTGAGGCTCTCGTGATGTAAACAAGCCACTGAACAAACACATGGGAGGAAAGACACATCTCCCTCACAGAAGAATGTGGAAACATTTATTTAAGCATTCTGCCTTTAGGGAGGTAACCCGAAAGTCACAACTCCCTAAACATAGACTGCACATAGCAGCTTCCTTTCAACGAGAAGCTGTGGAAAAGTGTGTGGAGGAGTTCGGGGAAGACGCTTTGCAGGGGAGAAACTGGGCACAGGCTGCCTCGGCCAGGCAGACCAGGTCAGTGTGAGCCAGCTGCCTCGGCCAGGCAGTCCGGGTCAGTGTGAGCCAGATAAGTTCCTGCTCGGAGGGTGCTGTTTGTATAAAATGGTGAAAATGGTTTTCTCCTTCGTTTCCGCCTCCCACAAGCCATAAAGGCGATGTTTCAGGAGGAAAAGATGTCAGTCAGATCCAAAGTTGGGGGCGTTCTGCAAAGAAAACGTAGAAGCTGACCGCCACTCCTTGAAGCTCTTCAGGTTATCCACATAAGTGAAATTTAAAAGAAATGTTAGGGCCTAGAGACACCCTGGGGAGGAGACAGGCTGAGGAGTGGATAACTCCTATTCCTGTCCTTGATTCTTCTTTCCTGCTAGTTCGTCATTGACAATGTAGCCATGTGTGATAATGAATGTACCATAATGGCTACTATGTCAGTAATGGAGGGGACGAGTTGCAAGGTGCGTGGGAACCCTCTGTGCTGGCTTACAGTTTTTGCATAAATATAAAACTTCTTTCAAATAAGATTATTTTCTAAAAGTGTGTTACCCAGACTTTTTCATTCCCACCTGTGACATGACATAATTCCAAAAGACTGTTCATGTGAAATTCGGGGTGAGCAGTCTCCCTGTGAACCTCTGCGCCCCTTGGTTACGCTATTCCCTCATTGTTGTGCTCAGGATAGTGGCTGGGCTAAATCTGAGGGTCCCTTTCCAGGGGTGTATGTAAGGCTTTGTACTATAATACCCTCCACAGGCTCGTGGGACAACAGCTGGCGGCACTATTTTGGAATGTTGTGGAACCTTTGAAAGGTCAGCTCTTCCTGGAGGAGGTGGGTCACCAAGGGATAAGCCCTGTGATTCACGGACTCCATTTTTTTTTTTTTTTTTTTTTTTTTTTTTC